TAATGATACCAATAGTAATCCCTGCAGAACCACATACATTAACTAGTTAGGGGGAGAAACGGCTTCCAGCCAGTCATCAACATTCTCATGAACAACTGGGCACACTTAAAAAATGATTTCTAAGTTGCACCGAACCTCCATAGCCATCTTTGATAGATACAGTGCAAATTTTATATGGATGTGCAATACTCAATCTTCGTGGAGAGCTAACGCCAAAACCAATTAGTTTGGAACAACTTCAGACAAACAAAAGGATATAAGGGAGGAAAATATTTTAATTCCTGCAAACATTTCTCAAAGATTGCATTTATGAAAACATTGATTTTGATTAGTTACCAACTCCCATATCCACCACTAACGAAGGTAAAAAGAAGTGTACAAATAACATGGATCCAACAGTCTTTCACTTATACTAGAAAATTGTCACCAATAATATCACGCTATTTCTATAGAAGGTGTAAAAAGGTCCTAACACTACACCAAAACTCCAAATTTATGGTGAGGGTTAAGGGTTGTAGTTTTATACTTTAACATGCCCCTTCACAGAACACTTATCATTTTTTAAATCCGCTTTGGAAATTTGTTGTTGTTGTGATACCATGTCAAAAGATCTCTGCCACTCCACCAAAACTGTAAAATTATGGTGAGGGTTGAGGGCTATCATTTTAAACTCTAACAAGAGGAGCAAGCAGAATTAAACTATGAGCTGGTATATACTTTTAGGAGTCCAGCTGAGGGATAGTCAAGGTGACTGTGTTCCAGAAAATACTCGCTGCCAAAAACGAACTTTTCCAATCTTTTAATGCTTCGGATTTACTCTTTAATCAAATATTATCAAAATATCCAATGCAGACGCAAAATATAAGCCCACTACAAATATAAAGAGTACACATAAAAGAGAAGCAGAAAATACATTAATCTTCTTCCCAACATGAACTAAAGAAAGGCATAACCACCACATGACAAGGGAAAACTTAATTTCCCTTTTACTCACAGAATCACCATTATATGCAGTAAAAGCTTAATAACAAAATGTATGTACAGATGAAGTTAAAAAAATTTCAGGAAATCTGCTCTCTCCTAGAACTTCAAATGCACACCCAACAACATGCTTTCTCAAGGGCGTGTTTGGCAACAATAAATGAAATGGACAATGAATGAAAACTGGGAAAAAGTATTCTCTTTCTCATGTTCGGCCCTTGTAAAGTGAATAGAAATTATTGGAAAGTGAAGGGCGAGGAAAAATCATGAAAGGATGGGATAGAGTTTTATACCAAGAGCTTAAAATAATTATGTAACGTTCTCAAAACTTTTGAGAACTTTTATTATACAAATCCTTCACCAAGTCAATGCATTTTCTTACTAAAGCGAAGGCAGAGAATATCATTGTATGAAACCGAAATTAGTTTTAATCAAGGTCAGAGACTCAAGAGTAAATTCATGAAAAACCGTGATAGGGTTTTATACCATTTTTTAGACTAAAAAGCAGATTGAGATAGAGTTTCAAGGCCCTAAAATAGGCCTAATGGCACTTCAAGCCAATGAAGCAAGAAAAAGGCTTGTCACTACGGCTTTAGTCTGAAAGGAAGCATTGCATTGGTTGTTCTGTGCAAAGACGACTTTAACGGAACCCTTTTGAGCCTTTTTACACAATGTTCTTAGAACTAAAAAAAATGGCACAAAACAGGTGCAAATAACGCCCTCTAGCTTTACATCATAACAATGAAATCATTGTCAGCTTCAAATTTAGCTTCAATTATGCATATGACTTTTTATCGAGGCCATCACCTAATAATCAACTTCAAAATTCCATTACCATTCTAGCAACGGATAGTTAATAGTCAAATAAGTACACAACCATCATATTACCACACAATAAACCATTACGAAAACAGTATTCGTAGTAGTGTAACCCAGAAACAAAAACAATGTGATCCCAGTTTGTACTAAGAAAAACAAATCTATCATTTCAAAACCCCACCCTACCCCCCTCCTCACCCAAACAAAATGAATCCTTTTGAACCCAATTTACAAACATTCAAAATCACTGAACTGACTTAAGTGCAGCAGAACATTTAGTTAGTGAATCTCAATCGAAACTGATATATTTACCGCGTGCATTTGCACTATTGACCAACATTGACACTTTAGGAACTGAACTAAACTTTGATTACTTAATTCTCCCTACTAAAAATTAGGGGGGGAATAACAAAATCAGCAACTAGTGCTCAATCCTTCTGTCTACCCAAAAATCAAAATCATCTCGAACCCAGTTCAAATATACTCAAATAAAGCGAACTTACCTAGTTCAGGGATGATCTCTCTACAGTTTACAGTTCATGGACTACACAACCCATTGAAACACTTTTTGCTATCAAACTATACCGGACACAATAACACAAACCCACTTGATTAAACTCGAATCCACATCAAAAAAAAAACCTCAATCGAAGTCCAAAAATTTTACCGCAAATTTTGATCGGCGCTTCGAGCTCGAGCAGATTGGGCTGCTGCAAGAAAATCCCCTTCGAAACAACGCAAAGCTGACGGATCTCAGCCTCAGACAACTGCACTTGCTTCCCCGGCTTGCTCCCTTTAACCTCAAGCAATCGATTGATGATATCGTCAACAACTCCAGGATCCATCTATCAAAACCCTAAATTTCACAACTAAACCCCCGAATGGCAGTAGCAAGAAGAAGGAGAGGAAGATATAAGCAACTTTTCGAACATTCCCCCTTCTTCTCTCTCCGCAAAGATTCTCCTCTAGCTCTCAGATAAGGGAAAAGGTGGAGTTTTTATGGGGATTTTTTATTTGGTCAGAGATAGAAAGAAAAAAATATGGGTAAAGGGACTGCTGACCTAAAAAGGGTGGAAGATTCGTGATTGCGGTTCATCGGACGGCTGAGATTTTTTTTTGTTTTTGTTCGTTTATAGTTTTGTCGCGGAGGTCTCGTTTTCGGCGGCTGGTTTTAATCCTGGCCGTTAAATGTTTACGAGATGCGAGATGGCGAACATTTGGCGCCGGTGGAGAACCGGTTTTTTTTTCAGGGGATATTGTGCAAAGGAACGGAATGAGAAGGGAAAATAGACATTCACGGATTAGTTTTTCTTATGGGTATCGTATCTATTCCTTCGCTATTTGTTCAAAACTACTAAAATAATGACTTTCACAGATGCACGTGAAGCAAGAATTTAAAAAGAAATTGTAAGTTAGGATGTCCATTAGAGCCCAAGGCCTGGCTGATCGGGCTCCAGACTCAGGGCCCGGGTTGTCTTGGTGAAGCCCGGGCCCGGCCCGGTTATTAATATATATATATATTTATATATTATATATCATCATTATCTCCTACGCATAAATGCATACGCATTTCAAGATTTGTGTAAGTGCGCTTCTTTATTTGCTTGGTTTTTTTGCCAAATTCCATCGCTCATGTATGTCAACTCTGTGCCCCCTATTATCTCTCTCTTTCCCTAAAAAGCGCCCAAATTCTCCATCACAGCAGTGACCCTCAACCCTCATCCATCCATCAAGCCCCAAAAATCTGGATCTCTCTCGTTTCTGATATCTCTCTCTCGAGCTCCCCCACCAACTCCGCCATTCCCCAATCACTCCAACGCTCCGCAATCTAATAGTGTGTCATTGTGTCTGTGTGTGTTGTGTGATTTTTTTTGAGGAAAATGACTATAGCTTCAAAGATCATGGTCATAAGTGTTTATTTGTTGATGTATTTAAGTACGCAGTATTATATGTGTGTGTGTGTTGTGTGGTGTTTTTTTTTCGAGCGAAAATGACTATAGCTTCACAAGAATCATAGTCCTAAGTTGTTATAGTGTATTTATATCTTAAGTACGCAATTATATATTATATATAATATATTATATATATATATAATATTATATATACCTACTTAATATATATTAATCTATATATATTACCCTCACTCTCACACATCCTTAGCCTAAAAACATAAAACAAAATATCCACTCCATAGTAGGATTCAGATCAAACAAGTCAAAGACACATGCCAGTTATTACTCAGTTAAAACATGCATTAATTACTTCAACGCAGTAAATCCAGATTCATTACCAGTTAAATTTCCAGATTCATGAACCTCAATAACACGTCCTTCATTGTATATATATATATATATATATATATCATAATATATAGTATATATATATATATTATTATATATATATATATATTATATTATATATATATATATATATATAGGAGGTTTTAATTAGAACCGGTCTCCCTATATATATATATATAATTATATATTATATTATATATATATATATATATATATAATATATTATATTTATATATATATATCATATAAATATATATATATATATATATATATATATATATTATATTATATTATATATATATATATTATATATTATAATATATATATATATATATATATATATACTATTATATATATATATATATATAATAGGGGAGCAGGTTCTAATCAAAACGCTCCTTATATCTATATCATATATATATATATATATATATATTATATATATATATATATTATTCTAATATATCATATTATATATATATATATATATATATATATATATATATATATATATATATATATATATATATATATATATATATATATATATATATATATATATATATATATATATATATATATATATATATATATATATATATATATATATATATATATATATATATATATATAGGGAGAGGTTCTAATAAAAACCTCATTAGCCTAAAAACTAAAAACCTCCTTCATCCAATGGCTAGTATTCAGTCAAACAGTCAACAGACACATGCATTAATTACCTCATTAAACACATGCATTAATTACTTCAACGCAGTAAATCCAGATTCACTACAGTAATTCCAGATTCATGACCTCAATGAACACGTCCTTCATTGTAGTGAATCCAGATTCACTGCAGTGAATCCAGATTCATTATCTCAACGAACACGTTTTTCACTGCAGTGAATCCAGATTCACTATAGTGAATCCAGATTTGTGTTCGTTGAGGTAAATAATGCATGTACTTAATACATGTGTCTGTTGACTGTTTGACTGACTCCCAGCCATTGGATTCATCTAGATCCAATGGATGATATTGGTTTTTAGTTTTTAGGCTAAGGAGGTTTTTATTAGAACATCTCCCTATATATATATATA